ATCTGCTGTCAACCCAGTGACAGGTTTGGTTAATAGATTGCCCTGGTTCCCTTAAGTCTGCTCAGCCTGGCAGGATAGAACTGTGTTTTGATTTATTCTCTTACTCCTAAGGCTATTTAGTGGAAGATTTTTTTAAAGAGAAGTTTTTGAAATGGTAAAAATACCAAAAATGGACAGATCGATAGGCCATGTGTCATTGATTAACATATCATATATTTGTGAATACCTGACTTGTATCAAGCAATGTTCTAAGAAGCTGGGATATTAAAATGAAAACATGGGATGCTCCAGAACTCCTGGGTCTTCTGGCTTTAAGAACTGGGTAGTCAGTGGAAGATAAAACATCTCTAGTCACACGGGGTGCCATCATGGACAGATAGATCTACCCGCGAGGGAGAGTGGGACCTGTGCTCCACCTGTGCTGAGGCTTCACAGGTGATGAGGAGGCTGTCTGGGAGGCAAGTGAAGGACGTGTACAAATTGTTCGAGTTTGCTGCAGCATAAAGGCTAAGATGGGGAGGAGCTGGAGGCTTAGGGAAGATCCAAAACCACCACATGGGGTTTGTACGCAATGCTGGGGAGTTTCTACATTACTGAAAGTGATAGGGCATCATTTTGACCAAATGGATGAGTTTGGAGGGTTTCACATCCCTTTGGCCAGCTGGGCGTAGGGTAGCTGGTAGGGGGTGGGGAAGGAGCAAACTAGTAAAAACAAAGCACCCGGCAGGACTTATGTCCAAATGGCTTGGAGGATGGAGGATGTGGCTGGTACTAGGGCAGCGGCTAGAAAGACAAGCTGAATATGAAACACAAAAGATATTTAAGAGGTAGAATTAAAAAAATAAATCTTGTAATCATTGACGGCCACTAGCAGTGACATATTCTTGTGGATTCGGTGCCTGCTGGGTGACCTTTTTTTGTGGAAAGAGCAGCAATCCTGCCTGCTGTTCTATGGTTGTTTCTATTTGAGAGATTGAACAGTAGAGATTTTAATGCTAACTATAAGTAGCTATGTGTCACCAGCCAAGGGGATTAGTCCTGAAACGGTGTGGCATTTGTCATGGGTCCTTAGGTTTTAGCAGCCAGGAGACCATTTAGTCCTGGCCATGGTGCTTATAGTTCAGGTGAGCAGGTGCTCAAGTTGGAGGTAATTGGGGGGGGGGGGGGGGGACTTGTTGTCAGCTGGGCGTAGGTTTGAATCCAAGGTCTACGGTTTGCTTCAACTCATTTCTTATCCCTGTGTCATTAGATGTCTATTCATGCATAAGTGGTGGAACTAACATTCCATCGTGGAGCGAGCTGACTCCAGAGTCCACACTTTCCCTTTTCCCTTCTTTCTCTTTATATTTAATATGTGCGTTGTTTTCATGATTATTACTGTTTTTAGAAATGCTGCAATTTCTAAAGTTAATTTTATTACCAGAAGTTGCTATTTCCCCTTTGACCCAAGAATCATGTCATAGAGAGCTTTTACGAAATCATGAAGAAAAGCCTTCCGTGCTTTGGTTTGGTTATGTTTTCTAGTTTTATTCCACTATCATCAAAGGACATTGTTCGTGTTATTTCTACTTTGTGAAATTTACTGCATGCTTTGTGGCCTAATCTATGGTTAGTTTTGTGACTGTTCCATGTGAATCTGAAAAGAAAGTGTATTCTTCATTATCAGGATACAAAGTTTGTGATGTAGTAAGATCTCCGGTATTAAGTACGTTGT